TGAATGCTGTCATTAAAGTAGCGTAATAGCTTTAAGACGCTAGATCCAAAACTTAAGAAGTTCTAGTGTTTTGTCTTATACGCGCCTTTTTCTGTTCTACAGCAAATTCGTGCTTCTGTAAGCGGATTCGTGAGCTTTTCATAAAGTCAACAATTCTGTTTTTGCTGTAGGGCCGTAGTGGTAGGACCTATTCTCTCTTCAAATGAAATGCAGATAAATGACGAAAAATAATGCGCATTGGAGAAATTTATACGCTCGCTTTTTCTCCTTGAAAAGTTTTCCTATGTGCTTCTTCTCCTTAAAAGACCCATAATGATTGTACAGAACCTCTATAGTATTATATTTTTGATATGAGCAGAGCCTAATTTCGCTCATTCATTTACAATCATATTTACCTGCTTTTCTGTCGTCAGCAGACTATCTGAGTTTAGAAATTGGCGACCAGCGGGTAATGATGTCAAACTTCCAGCCATTGCTAATATGAAAATCCGTTGAGCCAGCTCCCTCACATCATTACTGTCCAACGGGTGTTCTTAAAGTCCTTCTGAAAGCTCAGCTGCACTTTAAACACCCTTAAGACTCCTCAAGCGTTTTGGCGGAACACTGCTTCATAACGATTTGTTATCAATGGATGTTCTCCGACTGCTCACTTTTAAATTTAAGAAATTGAAAAGAAAAGAAATTGAAAAGTTATTTAACTTCAAAATGGACAAAAGAGTCAATGGCAAAATTGCAAATAAAATTCAATCAAAACTCAAGGACGTTTTTGAATCTAAACTGGAAAATTGACGCAAAAATAGTACGATGAAATTCAATGTCAAAATTAGATCAAACTTCTGATATTATCAATGTTCTGACAAAGATCTTTTTAAACACTGAAAAAGATATCGTTTTCAATCGGATACAGACTTAGGCTAATTGAAATTAATCAGGTTGGTACAGATCATTAACCTCTGGTCAGAGACGTGCATGGAGCTTGCTACTTAGTGACGCAATTCTGCAATCAAATCAGAAGAGTTTTTTGCCATTGTCCTATTGATTTATATTTGTTAATTCTGATCAACTATAGTAAAGCGTTCATATGTGGGTCAACCGTCCGGTGCTTCAGGTAATTGACATTATCTTTTAGTCAAAGTCTATCCCCGGGTCTTTCAGCTTCGAAAATTTTCTCTTATGCAGGCTCAATTCAGATACATATATTATGATAGCGAAGGAAGGGTTGCTCAAGCAGTCTTCTAGTAATATCAAAGGGTTGCACTAGTAGTCTTTGGGATTACTAGCAGTCTTTTGGGAGTATCGCAGAACTTACCTGGTCCCGCATCCAGTAGATCCAAAAAAAATCTGATGCTCTGAAACACAAATTTGGAGGCACTTCCTCTTTTTGCAAGTTGATATAACAGAAAATAAAACTTGTTATTTTCGTTGCACAAGTTGACCTGTGCGGTCAACGCGTTCAATTCTTGTCAATGATATTTTAATAACCCTCTCTGGAGTTATCCATCACTGAATTTGGTCATGGGTACGTCTCCAGTTTCGCTAGTATCTCGCTGTAGATCATTTTCCAACCAATCAAAAAACACCTTACTCTTTTGAAAAAGCAGTGAATCTTGGAGTTGTAATGAGGTAAATTTTTATTGCGAAACTGAAACAGTTTGAAAGGTAAGTTTTCGACATTTGGGCAACCTAAATCATCAAGGTTCTCAACCACGGATCCAAGAACTTTGACAAAAGTTCTCTTTTTCCTTGATGTAAAACACAGCGTTTGGATTTCTCAGCGCAAAACTTTGAACAATCTGGTTATGATTCAAATATGAACAATCCCTATTTTTCCAGTGTATTCGGTGAAAGTAATTTGTCAACCAGTTGTAAGCATTTTTTTCAGGTTTGGGAAGTAAATGAAAACTGACTGGAGGAAAGAAATAAGAGAATCACTGCAATCAGAAGTTGTTTTTACCAATTCGTTAACTATAAGGCTGGTTTTCCAGTATTGAAAAACTTCTACATCTAGCAAGATTGATCTTCAACATTCTAATAAATGTTAAAGTTTTGATTTGTTCAATTTGTTCAATGCCAGTCAAATGCTACTGTTACAAGCTGCTGTAACACTTCCATGACAACATACAGCAGTATGTCGGGTCAGTGTTATAAACTTTATTACAAAACTGGCAGCTTAAGTAAAATTGCTTGCATTCGCAAAATTAAAAAAACTTGAAAATTTGACCGAAGACGAATTGTCATTTCAATAAACCGTCCATAAGTCTCGATTTGATAGCAACGACACATAGCTTATGTCATTCGTAGACAAAAAGAAAAACCGAGAACATGCAGCTGAAAAAATAGCGACGGTCAAAATAAGCTAGGTAGTCAGGATTCGAGCAAAGACTCCATTTCCGATATTCAGCAAAGCTGAACAGATGAAGGGAAAATCTCTGATGTTTTCGAAGCTCAGCCGCAGTTTGGTCATACGAAATCGGTTTCTGCTCTTCCGAATTGGCGGGCGACCGTCGAAAAAATAGCGAGTTTTCTGGGTGGGTTTTCTTTACAGTCAAATAAATCACATGAATAATTTTCAAATCCGTTGAAGTGACTCTCCGTTTTTCAAATTTCAACTTCGTATTTTCAATAACTATTAGATCTGCTGAATTTCCAGTTAGAGTAAAGTAAACAAAGTTTTTCGATCTGCCACCGGTTGGAAAAATATTGGATTTAAATGCTCAATATTAATGACATTATTGTGCCGAATACCCAGTAGTTTGAAATTACTAACTTCATTAATCATTATTTCTTCTTTTTGTTACAATTTCTAGGCAACGTCACCGCTGCTCTTCAAACTGGGTGATTGTTTGTTATTTTCATATGTTTAAAATTACATTTTAAGGTAACACTCCAAGCTTTTGGAGATAATAACCACCGCCGTACAAATCTTGCCACAAGTGCAGGTATCAAAACTGAAGTAGAGGAATTAAACCAGTTTTCAAGGTACGGGTCTTTTCAATTTGAATAGGGTCCACCATGCTTAGGGGAAATTCCTACAGAAGTCGTTTACAATTTTAAAGACTTCCCCTGTAGGACTGTCCTTAAACATGGATACCCTCCGTTAGGAAGGACACCCTCTCTGGATACACATCGTATTACAATACTACTCAAATATGACACAGAAAAATAAATTTGAGCATTTGATGACATTGAAGTTTTTCTATGAACTGATTTATTCATTATTGATATATTTTTTGAGAAACTTGAAAAAAAGCATTAATTAAAGCTCGAAGATTTTACCCAGTGCCATTTAAACTGACAACAATCAGGAGACGCCCATTTAGACAAAAAAATGAATTGTGCCAAAAAAAATTTTGTCATCAAAAAAGTTTTGAGCGATTGATCTTTAAAATTGTTGAACTACAGCCAACCTGAAGTATTTTTTACAATTTTCAAAAAAAATTAAAATTTTCTCCAAAGTAAATGATACAGTTAGCTACTACATGTTGTTGCTTAGTGTGAACCCCGTCACAGATTGGGTGGCGTAGGTGCTCAGTGCGGCGAAGGTGATCCAGGTTTTTGTTTGGCTGTTCCTGCAAGACTAGGTAGTCAGGATTCGGGCAAAGACTCCATTTCCGATATTCAGCAAAGCTGAACAGATGAAGGAAAAATCTCTGATGTTTTCGAAGCTCAGCCGCAGTTTGGTCATACGAAGTCGGTTTCTGCTCTTCCGAATCGGCGGGCGACTTGACGGAAGAAATGAGCTCTGTTGACTCTCTGTCGGTACACTGCTACCTCCTCGGATCTTGATCGCCCCACCGCTCTTGCTATCTTTTTCATTTCCTGTTGATGCACCTTGCGTGGAAATTGTTCTGGTTGACTTTCTTCAGGTAGAGGTCTTCTTGTCTCGTGTCCACAGTCGTCTGAACAGCAAATTCAAAAGTTTCGTTTGTTTATGTTTTTGAAGTGACGAACATGCTTCTCGATCTTCAGCGTTCTCGGAGGCCGACTAGCTTCTCGATTTTAGTCTGTGTCTGAAGCTTCTGGTTGGTGTTGTCACTTTCAACTTCGGCAACAATTTTGATTGCAGGAAATCCCGCTTCCGTGCAGGCAGGAATGGAAAAAGAACCACCGGACAGACCTGCGATAATAGAAGCGGGGGAGTTGTTGACAGTCTCGAGCTTCGAGCTGCTGGTGTCGAAAAAGAAAGGGTACCACATTCCTGCCGCGTACAAACCGACTGGTCTGATATAACGTAAGCACAGTTTATGGAGATAGGAGGCTGAGAGCCCCATGATTTTCGGGACACTCATTTCTTTCGAGGACACTCATGATCTTCAGGCGACTCTTCATCTTCTTCCCGGCCTCGTCAGTACGCACTGTGAAAAGTGCTGAGGTCCAACTAAATACCGAAGATTTCCGGCTTTTGGTTGTGAAGTAGTTGCTCGCCGTTTTCAAAGAGAGAAAGCTGCGCTTTACCCGCGGTGTCAATGGGGTCAAAGAACACAACCATTCCCTTTGTCTCAAATTTGTCCATGTTGATTACCTTGTAATGACTGTATGCTCAAAGAGATAACGCTTGGAGAGCTGGAGATGTCTAAGTAGCTGCTGCATCGACTTTACTGTACTGGCAGCTCAGGTAAGTGTGTAGTCATCAGGGAAGATGTCAGAGGTGACATCAGCATTGGCAGAACCGACTTTTCTCGACAAGGAAGCCGCGGCGAAGCAAAAGAGCAGCGGCGACAGAGGATTTCTTTCTGGAAGTCCCTGCGAAAACACTATATCTGCTCAGGGCAGAATGACATCTGTGTGCCGCTCTGCGGTCGGCCAGCCAGCCAGGTTCGGAGTCAATGGAAAGAAAGGTTAGTTAACCCGAAGGTACCTAAGTTTCGGAGAAAGCCGTGTTTCTTGACCCTATCGAAGGCTGCTTTAAACACCATATCAACGTGGAGTTTGTGTTTGTTCTCCTGTAGGTGGTCAAAGGCTTGTTGACTGATGTTTTCTATATAGTCTAAGGTTGACCGTCAAGACTGGATCACGGAATGCTCTTCCGGAACAATATTGTTCTGCGGAGACCACTCTTTCAGTCTGTTGGTCATCATTGTCTCCAGCACCTTGGAAAGATCAGAAAAGCAGATACACCGGTCTTTGTTTGCTTATATTGCTTGGATCAGAATTCTTCATTGAAATTTTACTCTTTCAAGACAAGAACGATGCGTGCTATCCTCCAATACGGGGAACGCGGGATTTCGTCCAACTCCTGTTGTTCATTGCCAACAGTCAGGAGCTGGCGAGAACGTGGAGCCTCTTCAGAGAGAGCGGGTGGATATTGTCGTGGCCTCAGTCCCACTTCTCGGCGTGTGTAGAGAGTGTACGACTTCGTGTTAGCGTGTACGACTTCGGATATATATCAAAAAAGTCAATGCAATTTTGACGCAAAAAATCTAAGTCTTTACTTCAATTTAATTTTGCTCTAACGCTACCTGTCAGGCCTTAATTAAAGTAGAATTTAGGGCTGACAGTTTCATCTATAGAAGGTTATCCATAACAAACAATTTAAACAAAGTATTATTTAAACTATCATAAATGTACATATATCTATTCAGTGAGTATGTGTATGTATTCTAACTTTGTTCGTTACACTCTCTTTCTAATTTTCTCCATCAATTTTCATAATTAATTTGATAAAAATTTTCATAGTTAGAGAACCATATGCGGACCCATTGGATGGTGAGCAGGTCGAATTACTGAGGAAAGAATAGGATTCCAATCATGATAAAAATTTTACGGAACTTTTGCTTGAATTTTTACCAGTTAATTTTAAAAGCAAAGTTTTTTCTTTTCTTTCAGCCTGGTAGAAAACTAAGATTTAGAAATCTTTGAAACGGATAGCCTGTAACATTTTATTAGTTCATAGATTAGTTTCATAAATTTTTTTTGAAAAACTAGACCAATTAAATAACCACAACAGTATTGAAGTGGTTGCAAATATCTCTCTATAATCTCGTTTTTACCAGTAATTCTATAAACCTTTTCAGAACAAGAAAAAAAATAGGAAAAAAATTGATTTCAGACAAAGGAGTAAGACGATCAGGGTAACGATTAATCGGCCTACTTTATCTATAACTTGCCTTTCAAAAATATTTACTGGACAGCAAAATACTACAGGCAGTCAGTTCCTTCTGGTATCAGACTACTGGCTTCAAATTTTAAATTAAACTGCTGGCTTCAAATTTTGTGAAACTTGACCTCAAATCTTTAAAAACAAATTTTGACCCAATTCTTGTTTTAGGAACTAACATCTTAGGAAATAAAACCAACCAAAAAGAGAGTGTTTGCATCCATTACCATGCAACTACTCCTGTCACATATAAACAAAGGACACAAACAGGTCATAATTTTCAGTTCTTTTTAACTTCAATCAGGCACAAACATAACAGCATAACAATATTATTAGTAAAAACATAAAACCATAATTCAAATAAACATAGAAAACACAAAAAGCGACGAAAACTGTTTTAGCTGGAAATTCAAGTGACATAATTATATCATTACGAGGCCAAACTGTGCACTGGATAGGAGCACAATTTTGTGTCTGTATGTTCCTGGATTCCAAAGACAAGTCTTAAAATATGTTCCAAAATGTAAGTGGATTCCACAAACAAAATTTCAGTGGATTCAGCATACATATACCTATAATATAAAAATTTTGTCGGCACATTTGTTTTGTTGCGGATTCTGCAACAAGCAAATAAAGCTAGTTGTTCTGGATTCCGCAACTGTAAGTAGATTCCGCAAAATGTAAGTGGAATCCGCAAAATGTAAGTGGAATCCGCAAATAAAAGTGGAATCCGCAAAATTTGTAAGCAGAATCTGCAAATGTAATTGGATTCCGCATATTTGTTTTTTACTTAACTTGCATATGAACAATAAAAAGCTAGAGATGGAAGATTTGATTTATTATCTATTGGAACGAGCAATTTGAAAGCAAAACGACTCCATCTGTCAGCGGAATCCACAAACGAACCTTAAAACATTGGTTAACGATGCGGATGTCAAATCTTTCTTTTTGGTTTGAAATGGGTTTGAAATTGCTGTTCAGGATTTGAAATGGCAGTTCATGTTTGAAATGGGGCAGTTAAGACACTCATCAAAATTTGAGATGAGATGGTTCAGTTGGTTCAAAAATTAACGTCGCACTCATCAGTATTTGAGATGAGATGGTTCAGTTGGTTCAAAAATTATCATCAAGTCATCAGTATTTGAGATGAGATGGTTCAGTATTTAAGACGAGTATTTGAGATGAGATGGTTCAGTATTTGAGACGAGATAAAGGACGGCTCGATTGTATTAAAATTGTATCCTCGTTTAATTAAAACTGAAAAAAAACTCAAACAAGGGGTAACTAAAAAAAACAGTACCAAAAATAAAATATTGTTTTTAAATATTGTTGAGCAAATGGATCAGTTTTTCTGTTCTTACCGAACCCTTTTCCTCGAGTTTTCCACTTTCGACAAAGCGTTTGTGTTGTCTCAATGGCTCACTATGGTAATCATAGTCTGGTTTTTTTATTGAAATATTTGTCTCCTCGGCTGTTTTGGCTGTTTCTGAATACTTTCCCTCGAAAACTCCACCTTCGACAAAGCGTCTTTGTTGTCCTAATGGCTCACTATGGTATTCGTAGTCTGGTGTGTTTGTTGAAATTTTCTCCAGATGAAGTTTGCGTTTACCTCTCGTATTGAATTTATTTTCTCTTTCGACAACTTTGTACTCGAATCGTTTGACGTGTTTGTATTCTGATGTTTGAGCATATTTAAAATAAAAATTTTCACAGAGTCAAGTGGTGTATTTTATCCGGACAAACGAAGGGTGTAATACTTTCGAACTGCAGACTCGAAAGGAAATCAATTGTTTCGTCAGATGAAGAGTGCAAAGAATGCTTCTCTCAGACACTGCTTTAACCAATCTCCCAGGCATTACCTCGTTTTTAGTGAAGAACAGTGCAGTTGGAATGACTGTAAGCATTTCTGGACTTGGGATGCCCGGCTTGCAAGGCAGTTTCAAGTTTGCAGACGCAGATGACGGCTTGCAGAAATGGATTTTGGTACTTTCGCCATCTAAGGTGAGCCAATTTTGAATTGACGGAACAAACTTGTACAGTTGATACTGACATAATGAAATGTGAACTTTAGTGTTGAATCTAAGTGCAAGCTCTTTCATCAAATTTTCATAACCGTAGCGATTTTTGTTAGAAAAATTGGCCACATTTTTTCGAAATGAACAGAGCCATGCGGACACGGCTTGAAAGATGGCCGAACGACAGCTCTTCCTACAAGGTATGAAATTGGAATCTGTTTTGCAAAACGTTGTGTCGATGTAAATATTATCAAAATAATGAACAGCAGCTTTTTGTAAGTTGTCGAAAAGATGATTGATTCGCTTCGTATGACCTACTTGCCATCTGAAGTTGCCAGTAAAAAGGACAGATTTTTCTTTGTAAGAACATTACTGAACCTAGACAGTGACCTGCAGGAATAAGAGTGACAGTTACGGTATGAGTATCGTCCCCTTCCGATGAAACATTCAATGTTAGCTCATTATCTGAATCCATAGGTATGATATATGGATTTAAGTGAAGATAAAGCGGCAATGCACTCAACTAAGGAGCCGAAACTTTATGACAAAAAATTTTAAAGTTATAAAGTTTTAACCTACCGAAGAGCTCAGGCTCATTAAGGCCCACCATCTGATCTGTATGACCGTGCGAAAGAAAATAAACTGCAGATTTGAGGTTCTCACCATTGAAGCGATCGATTGAAATCTCAGGAAATTCTGATATTGGACCGGCAAATTCTGACATATTTATAGAAGGGATAAGGAGGTAGGAACAGTGAGTTAATAAAATGAGGATTGACGATACATTTCTATAGTTTTTAAGAAAGGAGAAGACCACCACATTTTGATTGTCATGAGCCCGTTTTGAGTGTAAGCATCTATCCTTGGTTAATTTGTAGAGCCAAAATTATTATCATTTGGGCGCTTAACTAAAATTACACGATCAGATCCAAAAAACTATTACAATAAGCTTCAGTAGAGCCAATTTTCTCAAATTAAAAAGAAGTATTTGGGAATTTTAAGTCCACTAACTACAAAACTAAGCAAATTAAATGATATGCGCATCAATATAGAAGATTTCACATCAGGAAGCACAGTAGGAAGTACAATCTTGGAAGGCAGTTTTGGCGCAAAAGACTAACTAACTAAAGTTTTTTTATAGACTTCTTTACTAATAAGTGGGCTGATATCACTATGTGACCGGCAAATGATGATGAGGCGCCCGATACTGTGAGGCATACTGCACGAAACTAGGCAAACTGGAAGGCATACTGTGACACGGCATTTGGCTGATGACTGGTTTTGTGACTGGCTTTGTGACGGCATTTGCTTAGCACCAAAATACTGAGGGCGATTGTTTGCACTAAAAAAGACAGTTTGCTACTAAACTAGTCATATATTGTTTTAGTAATACATTTGAGATTTGATCTTTTGAAATTTACTGATAATCTGATTGTGTGGATGATACTGAGTGTGACGTGTGGATGATACTGACTGACAAAAGTACTGACTATGACGACGGCGGCATTTGCACTAAAAAACAGATTTCTAATAAACTAGTCATAAAATATTTTAGTAATATGTTTTAAGATTTGAGATGTTGAAATTTACTGATAACCTGACTGTTTGGTTGAATTATGTATTGATACGGGCATTTGTATAGGGCGATTGTATGCACTCAAAAACAGTTTTCTAATAAACTAGTAATAAATTGTTCTACTAATATATTTGAGAGTTGAGCTTTTGAAACTTACTGATAATTTGACTGTGTGGATTACACGTGGAAAACGGTTGAAATCTGGTTGAACTCTGAGCGAGCACGTGGAAAACGGTTGAACTCTGATTGATTTCACTAAGGCGATTGTTTGCACTAAAAAAACAGTTTTCTAATAAACTAGTCACAAAAGATTTTAGTAAAATGTTCTGAGACTTGAGATTTTGAAACTTACTGATAATCTGACTGAGTGACAACGGCGGTTGGATGCGTGACGATGGCGGAATTTGCACTAAAAAATTTAGTTTTCTAATAAACTAGTCATAAACCATTTTAGTGGTATATTTTGAGATTTTGAACCTTTAGGACGAGGGTCCCACCCCACGCTGGGATGACCCAGCGGTTCTGCCGCGTCCTCGGCCTCGAGCCCGGCCTGGCAAGTTTGCAGTCCCGGGGACTGAAGGCGCTGCTCGTCCGCGACTGCGCCCCCGCCCGCTTGCCCAATTATAGGGCCGAGTGTCGTCATCACTGGATGAGTCGTCGACGATTCGGCCATCCCAGGCCACAGCGTGCCCGCGACCGCGATCCGCACGTAGGAGAACGCAAGAGCGGCCAAGGCAGTGCTCTCCTCCTCGTCACTGCCCGAGAGCAGTTCACAGACGGAGACACTCCTCAGCTGCTCCGGTTCCGACACCGAGTCCGAGTCACGGTAGGGCACCTCTGTCTCGACCTCTATCTGGTCTCCTGCCTCCTCATCGTCATCCTCATCGTCATCCTCCTCGTCCGTGTCAGAGGAACTAAACAAAGGTAAAACATGATCGATATGGAGCAAGGGTTGGATGTTCTTTTGTGGTTTACATTGGGAAGGTTCAAGTTAGTGGTCAAAGGTGGAAAAAAGATGTTGTTCACATGGCACCAGGCTTAGTTAGTTTAACAATAAACAAGGTCAAAAGCAATAGTTACTAGTGCATGAACGAGTGGAAAGGCGATAAGTCCTGGCAACAGAAGGGGCACTTTGGATAAGGCTCATCCTGCACCTTCCGCCAGTAGATAAAACACACCTTGTGCGCCACATCCCCATCGTGTATTTTGAACAGATGCCGCCCATCATCACAGCAGATAGGGCAATTTTTACTATCGTCTGTCTGCGTTTGTGATTAATTCGCATTCACCATGTTTTCCGAAATTCAAGAATTCAGTTAGTTACTCAGACTGCAGGCTAAAAACTTGAATTATATTTCAATTTATAGAAAAAACTGTTTTTAAAAAGTCAATTAATATATCTAGACATTTTGTACATATTCCGCTCATATTCGTTGAAAAACTTCACAGATAATCTATCATTTGAATGTGGTAATAGAAAGTCTTTAGGCCCTTTTGAGTAATATTTGGACAGGCAAATGCTCCCACTGTCAATTCTCCGCATTACCCACAACGGTGTTGGAAGAGATTGTCCATCTTTTCTTTATTCGCAAGCCTTCCTTCAGTTGTTGGCTTAAAATTCAAAATTATCAAAAGTTAGCATGAGACGTTAAACTGAGTTTTTGGGATGAATTATGCATTTCAGTATTCGGGATGACGAAATTCAATTTTTGGGATCAATTGAGTATTTCAGTGTATGCGATTAAACTGGGTGCAGTTTTTGGGATACGGAAGTAATTTTTTCAGTATTTGGGTTGAAATTCGGCCAGAAATACATATGTTAATTTTTCTGGCAAGGTGTTATCTAAGGCTTTGTCGTGCGCCTTCAGAATTCTCACGACTTCCTCCATATCTTCTAATTCTTGCGGAGGTATCGTGTCTCTGTTGCTAAAAAAATATCTTTCTCTATTTTCATTTATTTCGACAAAAATGTATCAGTTTAATCTTTGATACTAACCACAGATGCACCATAAGCTCATTCAGAGCCAACATCGGAAAAGCAGGGTAGCAGCTGCTGAAGTGCTCTTTGTCTTTCCGCTCAGGTCGAAAAGCTCTGGCAGCCGTCAGCAGGTGTCCACGATGGATGAAATTGACTCCCAGAGTCACTGAGTCTGAATGCGTTTCAACCATGTGTATCATGCCAGCTGGGATAACGAGGGCCTGGCGCTCCGTCAGAACAACTTTCTGACATCCTCCAGCATCACAGCGAAGGTCATCCCCGGGAAACATCGGTTTCCAACCCAGAGATTGCTGCATCAGATGTTCCTGGAATATCTGCTTGTTGTTGACCGACGGGGCCATCAAATAAAATGTTTTGCAGCCTAAAAAAACTGAAAGGAAGATATTTCTATATTTCGTTGAACAAATTGTGCATCAAACTTTGTTTAACCTTTCACTAAAGTGTACATCACAGATGTACCGGAGAAATCCTGGTGAAATGGTGTTATTGCACCAGCCTGCGATAACAGCAGGTAGCTTGACTCCTTCGTCGGTAATTCTGTCTTCTCCAACTTCCTTTTATGTATGTGTCCCAACGACACATCCTTGACTGCTTTTGGGACAGAGAGTTTCGTGGCAGCTGACAAGGAATCATCAGCATCAATGATGATCCAGAACATTGGCGGCATTGATCGGAACAAAGTTTAAACATCAGCTGGCTCAAACGATTGTATATATTCCTAGGATTGAACACAAATGAGAGGTTAAACTTAATTGAAAACTAGAGTCGTATTAGAGGTCTAGTTACTTTACAAACTGATTACCTTTTCCTTTAAGATGTACCGTCTAGCTCTGAGTTCCTCGGGGTATTCCTTCAAAAATTCGTCAAGTAAATTGTCCCATACACTCGGCTGCAAACTGGCAACTATCCGCAGGCCCTGATAGTTGGCTTTTGAACCCCTCGATGGATTTAGCCGATGGAACTAACAAAGCTCCTTGTTGACCAATAAACCAGTCTGAATGGATCCAGTTGACAAGATCAACCACAAGCCCGCAATGTATTAGAATTGAGGCAGGCATGATCTAATAAAATACCCGAAACAGATGATCGAAATTTAATTAAAACGACTTTGAGCTAGTTTTAGGTTCAGATGCTTACTTGCGAAAGTCTCTCTCTTAGTTTGCCATGGTCAGTTGGAGGGTAACAGGTCAAAAATACTGGCACTCGTGCAACAAGAACTGCCTAAAACCACGGCAAAACTGTGCGGTTTTTCCCCAAGAGTTTTGGTTTCCGTATCCGCATCCAGAGGATGTCAATGATCTGGCCCTCAGATCTGCGTCAACCAGACTATGAGGTGTCGAAATGGAGCCTGTAGAGGAAAGAGCGAAACCAAACTCTGGTACGAGAGAAAGTTGATCTGGCCTCAGACACGATCCATTCGGTACCTGGGAAGTGATACCATCCTAATTGGCGCAGCTGGCGCACCGATTGGCAATTGGCCGCTGACTTCCGAGGTATGTTCAG